GCGGAGAACAGAGGGCTGCCCCTCCCCAAGGCAGACTCCGGGTCCTCGACGCCCACCACACCTCTGCTATGGAGTCCCAGCGCCTACCCTGCACCAGGCTGGGCGGGAGTTGGGGAGAAGCCTGAGGAAGGCAACCCTAGTCCTGCCTGGGAGGGGGACGGGGAGAGGTTCCTCCCTGCCAACACCAGGGGTCACCAGGCCCATGACCTGACTGAGCAGAGAAGCTGGGCCGGCTGGGGTCTCAGGATCCCCCGGGGACCTAGTCACCTCTCTCTGCACCCACTCTGGTCCTCCCCACCGCACCCCCAGACAGACCCCGCCTCAGGGGTTTTGCCCCTCCCCCGGATTCCTGTCTGCTCTCCCCTCACTCTCCAAAAGTCCTTGCTCAAGGTCGCCTTCCCAGTGAAGCCCTCCCTGGGCCCGCATTCACTGCAGCCGGGCTGACCCAGGCCGATGGCGGTTTTGCCGCTGGATGGCGATTCAGCCTCTGTGCCCATTCTGTCCCCGTTGTCCCCCTCCCCGAGGGGAATGTCTGGGCCATGGGGGCGGGGGCTCGGCCTTCCTGGGCCCCCAACACCGGAGTGGTGCCCGCGAGCCGTCCACCCCCTGCTGGCTGAATCAATCCAGCTGGACGGGTCTGAGCCTCGGCCTGGCCATCCGCGGCCGGGTCTCACCAGTGTGGTCCTTCTCCCATCGGAACTAGTGAACTCCCTCACTCCTGCCCCGTGGGCTTCCAGGCTAAGGCCGAGAGGTGCGCGCACTAAGTCTCCTCCCAAGGGCTGAGCGCCCAGCCCAGCGCTAGAGAATCAGGAAAGCGGTCTGTGGTGGCCGGCCAGGGAAAGGGGGTTCCTTCGGGGAGGAGAGCCCCGTGTGTGTGGGGATGCCTGCCCCAGGGTCCGGGCTGCGCGGAAAACCCTCTGCCCGGCCCCCGGGGGACAGGCTGGGTGCTTGTTGGGAGCACCTAGTGCTGCCTAGGGAAGCTGGCCTGTGGGCTGGACCCACACTTGGCTCACCTCCAGGTCACTCAGGAACGGCCGCCCCCCCCACGGGCAGGTCTCAGAAGGCTGGGTCGGGATGGCCTAGTGCTTCAGTGAGCGGGGGGCCAGGTGGGAGGGCTCCCAGGGGCCGGAGAGCAGTGGCTTCAGGTGGGGCCCCACTGAGGCTTCCGGCCTCCTTTGTGATGCAGGTGTGGGTTCCCTGGAGGCGGGGAACATCTCCAAGCAGAGGTGGGGAGTTCCATCTGGGTTTGGTGTCGGGGGAGGGGGCAGAGGGCCACTCAGGGAGCACAGGGCTCCCTGCGGTCCTGACCCCTCCTCCCTCCTCGATTCCACAGTCCAAAGGGGCCACAGGGGCGCTGGGAAGGAAGGCCAGACCCTTCTCCCCACCCTGCCCGAGACCCAGGGACCAGAGAGCTACGCTGGCCACAGGGGTTGCAAAGCCCCTGCTAGGGGATCTCATCACTTCCCTCTCTAGTGAGACTGGTGGGCTCCAGGGGCCATGACTGGTGGAAGTTTTGGAAGAGGTGAGGGTTGGGAGAGACCCTTCTGGACACAGAAGCATCCCAGTGCTTCTGGGAGTGAATCAGGTGCCCTGCTGATGGGGGCTGGGGACTCTGGGCAGAGCAGGTCCCGCCAGAAGCCAGCTTTCTGTTCTTCAGGCCCAGCTTGAGTATCAGCACAGTTCTGCTTCTGTTTCAGAATCCCATGGAACAAGTGGTCCCCCCAGGCCCCCGGGGCTCTGGAAGGGTGACAGGGTAGGGTCGTCGGTGCCCAGACCCTGCTCAGGCAGCCTCTCCTTTTGGCCCCACCCTGGGAGGAAGACAGCTCTGCAGGGGCGGTTACCAGACAGGACCCCCAGAGCCCAGGCAAGGCTCTACTCAGCCCGCTGTCTGCCTCCCGGCACCAACCCCATCCGAAGGTTGGGAACCCTACCCAGAGCGAGGAGCTGGTAGCCTGGCCTGGAGGCTGCCTGGGCTGCTGTCCTGGAATGGGAGGAAGTGGAGGTTGGGGGAGTAAGAGGCCAGGACGGCTCTTCCTGGGGCGCTTGGGGCAGGCCAGGGACCAGCCTGGCCAGCCAGAAACTGCTTCGTGGGGCGTGGTGGCCCTCGACTCCGCAGGCAGCTCAGCCCAGCCAGAGCGCCTCTCCTTATGCCACCACAAGCCTGCCCAGATGCCGATGCTGGCGGAGGGCTGGAGCTCAGCCTGCTTCTCCCACCCCAGCCCTGCTCAGGAGTTCCATCTGCAGCTCTGTCAGCGAAAGGCACGCTGTGAGCAAGCGAGGGTCCGGCGAGCCGAGGTGCTGAGCTTGTCCATTCTGGGGGTGGGGGCAGGCAAGCAAGACAGTGCTCAGGGACCTGGCAGCCAAGAGAAACCAGCAAAGGAGCTCCAGACCTCCAGCCCCAGCCAGGTCCCTGGATGCAGTGAGTCCCAGTCCCACTGCTGGCTGGGACACTCTGGAGGGTGGATTTTAATCCTTCCTCTTAGGTGAGCTCGGGGCTGGTGGACGCTCCCTGCTCACCCCTCCCTGTCTCTTGGACAAAAGATGTGAGATGTGAAGTTGGAGGCCCAGCCCACCACGGGAGTGGGGAGGGGGGTACCACCTCCCTTAACAACCTTGGGACCAGGGCAGGTCTAGGAGTTAGCCCCGGTCACTGCTGCTATGGGCAGGGAGCTCTTCTCAGGCCCAGCAGACACCTGCCCCTGACTGCTGGGCCCACCCCTCTCCTGCTATGACCCCCCCCCCCCCACCGCCAGGCAGGACAGTTGTGGGCCATCTGCTGTCCTCTGCATGGAGGCCAGCCCCATCTGGCAGGTGTCTCTGGGCTTCTGTAGGGCAGGATTCAGATCTCTCCTTGGGTCTGCCCATCCGTGCGGCAGGCAGGCATGGGGGGCCCGGCTCAGAGAAGGGAAAGGCTGGAGGAAGTTGGGCATTTCTGGAGCACTCAGAGAGCTGGGGTGAGAGTCCAGCCCGGGGGAGTCTCCCTTCTACACACCTTCCCAACACCTGCTTCCTGATGTTGGGCCTTGGGTATCCTGGCCAGGAGGGAAGGGGCTGGGGTAGTCTGACTGTCCCTGAGCCCCCAAGCCAACCCCAGTCAGATGAGAGGAGGGAGGCACAATGCCAGGCACAAAGGTGTGGCCAGGAAGTACGACGTGGGGCAATGGTCGCCAAGCTGAGGGCCGTCGGTGATGGTGTCTGGAGAGGCTGGGTCATCCGACTTCCAACTCTGTAGTTGCTACTTCCATGGTCCCTGGAGTTCCTTCTACCAGGTGCCTAACTGACACCTTCATGGCTAACGAGTGAGTCTATTAAACCCTCGCTATGTCAATCACTGGTGTGGTCTGTCTCCAAAGCGCCCCTGACTGATGCATATGTTGGTACCAAGAGCGGTCCGCATCACCAGACGCTCAAAGATGGATCTGGGGTCTGACTGCAGGGCTGTGTTAGCTGGGAAGGGAGAGTCATGGTGTGGGGTGATCTCCCCACGGGGGCTGTGGTGCGCCCACCGAATCAGGGGCTGTGGGAGCTCAGGTGCCACCGCACATGGCTGTTCAGGAAGTGGCAGTGGCCACAGGGGCCGTGGCATGGGGCGGCCTCTCCCAAACGTCCTGGAGCACACACAGGAAGAGAACGATGGGCTCGGGTCACGGCCCGGGAGTCGGAGGGCTCCGTGGCCCCCGAGAAGTCCCTGCGACAGGCACAGGGCTGTAGTGCGGGCTCAAACACGGCATTTAACTGTGAGCTGTGCAGTGACGATGTCGGCTGCACTTAGAGCCTCACCAACTTTCTAATGAAAAACTGGGGCACTGAGATGGGACCCTGGACCTCGGAGGGGCTCAGAGGAAGCGGAGAACCTGGAACTGCCAAGTCCTCCAAGCCCCTTTGCAGTGGATGCAGCTGGGCTCCCCAGTGGGTGACTTGCCTTTTCTTTCTTTATAAATCCTGAGAGCCTCATGGGCTTAGGAAGGAGGACGCTGGCTCTGTTCAACCTCCACTACCCCCTCCTTCACCCGTTGACTCTAGACCCACAGAAGGGATCTCATCTCAGCATCTTTGGGGTGTGGGGCTCAGGTGCGAAGCTGGTCCTGCAGGAACCGGCACATACACCCCCTAACTGCAAGATCCCGCAAATCCGCACTGGGACCTGCGAATTGTGTGTGGGAATGGAGTCAGGGGGTCGGGCCACGGTGGAGGGGGTACAGCTCTAGGCTGGGCTGGCCCTACTGCTGGGGGTATGCCCACCACGGACGCTGGAGCTAACGAGTGGGCGTACACCAGCGGCTGGCAGTGATGTCACCAGGCCACGTGGCTGTGCCCCCTCTGCACCGGGGTCTACCATTAACAAACTTGAGATGCCAGACCCTCCCTAGCAGAACCAAGCAGGCACCCAAAGGTGCAGGGAGGACTTCTCACATGTGATCGTGCACCGCCCCCCTCCCCTGCAGCCCCCAAGAGGGATCACGGGACTTATCTTCTCCAGGCTCTGGTTGTGATGAGCTGTAGGGCTGTGCGTCCTGCTCCTGAGCCATCCCTGCATTCCTGTGCGTGCTCCTCTGGGTGTGTGCCTGACCCGGGTAAACTGGTTTGTAGCTTCCTTTTGGTTGGGATCATGCTTTCTTCCACAAAGAACTTAGAAGCTTCTTTTTCTTGGCCTGGAGGGGTTTAGAGACATTTGGAGTTGACTGTTCCTTAAAGGTTGACAGGTTTTTCCATCTGGAACTAAGCCTGCTTTAGGGGAAGCTCCTGGACAACCTTATCTTTTCCTCCTTTGCAACTGTCCCGCAGAAGCTCTAGGCCTATTCTGATGAGTTTAGTTAAATATTTGTCTAGGAGCCAATTCATTTCATCCAGGCCTCAAAATTTATTTGCTCTGAGAAACATAATTTCTTATGTTTTTAATTTCCTGTTTCTGTTACTTCGTCCTTGTCACTTTAAAATTGTGTCTCTGCTGTGCCTGACATCAAGCTTTGAATTGCCAGGGTGTCCGTTTCAAACATCCCATCTGGAAAACGTGTGTCGCCAGCTGAGGACACGGCTGTTAGCAAAACGACCAGAGAAGGAAGTGGGCTGCCCACACCTGTGAGGTGCCCCCTCAGGAAGCTCTCGGCTATCTCGGTAACTGACTGCTTGTATGACCCTGCCTCTAGTCTCCCGAGACCCCATTCCCACTCTTCTGCTTCAAACTAGCCAATAATGAGTGACCCATGAAACCCCAGAGATCCCACCCTGAGACCCTACTAAAGGCTGAACGCCAGGTTCATGGTCTGTCCTGCCACGGGGCTATGCAGCCCCGAGCCCGCTGGGGACCTCCAGACGTGGGGGTGTAGACCTTTCTCCCAAGGGCACCGGCTGCCCTGAGAGCCGGCACAGCCGCGCCATCTGCCTGTCGGGAGGTGCACGGGGCTCACTGCAGTGAACTTGACGGCCCCTGTGCTTCCTCCGTCTTTCTCAATAGAGCCGCTGTTGGTTCATCTACTTTATTTCTGAAGAACCAGATTTTGTATTTATTCTTCTTTTGTTCCTAATTTATTAATTTCTGCTTTTATCCTTAATTCCTATCTCCTGATTTCCTTAGTTTTATTGTGTTTCTCCAACTTCTTGAACTGAACATGTACTTCGCTTTCTTTCCATCGCTTGGTAATCTGCTTGGGGCCGGACTTCCCCCGGCCTGCCGGGGCAGCATCCCACAAGTGCTCCTCTGCACGGGTTTTGTTATGATTAGTTCTTCAACTTTCTTTGACTTCAGCTGTGATCTCCTCTTGGACCCCAGAGCCGTTTCACACGAAGGGAACTCTTAAAGGTTGATTTATAGCTTTGTTGCCATGAGATGAGGTAACACCATCTATACACTATCACCAGCGTTTCTTGGTGTCTCTCTTCTCCGCGGAGTCTGAGCTACATCACTTAGGCCCACTGTATCCCGCGGCTCAGGAGCCCATCCAGGGTGGAATGGCCGGGGGGCCCACGTCCGGGCCTCGAGAGCATGGGGTCAGTGGAGCCGGCAGCCCAAGGATGCCTCCCTCCGGAGTCTGACCTTCAGCCTCCTCAGGCCACTGTGCTCGGGGTCTGCCAGCAGGCCACTCTCCACTGCCGTCCAGGCCTCTGCATAGCGCTGCTCCTCCAGGCAGGTCTGGCCATGGCACAGAAATGCCTTGGCAGTGGGGCCCCGACCTGGCCGCTCCCACAGGCTGCTCTGGGCTAGGGTGGGTGCCAGCTTGAGAGCCTGGGCAAAGGCCCCTGCGGCCCTGGCCCCATCCCCCAGGCTCAGCAGCAGGCGGCCCTGGGAGCACAGGTCCTCCACCTGCGTCGGGAGGTCGCGGTCCCGCACGTCCTCCTGGAGGACAAGGTTCAGGTCCTCCAGTGCCCGGTCAAACTCCTGCAGCTCAGCCAGACAGGTGGCCCTCAGGCGCAGGTGATGGGCACTGCTGCTCCCAGCGAGGACTGCCAGTGAGCAGTAACCCAGTGCTTGCTCTGGCTGCCCCGATTTCAGTAAGGTGTTGGCTTCCTGGGCTGCAGCCTGCACAGAGGGGACAGAGGGAGGCAGTGTGGGACAGCCCAGAGACACACAGGCCCCTCCCCTGCCCAGCTGGCCTCTGTTCTTGACCTGTGCAGAGTGCTGCCCACTTCCTTGGAGGGAGTGGAAGTACAGGGTACAGGGCACGCCCTGCAACCCCACCACCCTGGAAGCCCAGCTCTGATGGGATCCCTCTGGACTCCCCTCTCCTCCTCACTGTCCCCCCACCCCCAGCCCTACTGCTTGTCATCCGGTGACCTGCTCCCTCCTTCCTCCCTGTCTCAGCCCTTCTCTGCGGTTGTCTTCCCCAGAGGCCCACGGATGGGCAGCTGCCAAGGCTGCCCTGGCCCTGAGGGCAGGAGCCCGCACCGCCTCTGCCCAGCTCGGTCCCTGGACCCTCTCCTCTGCCCGAGGTCCGGAGGGCAGGGTCCGCGGAGCACGGCTGGGTTTCTCAGTGCAGGGAGCGGAAGACCCTGCAGAGCCGAGTCGGCGGGGAGAGGCTGCGCCGCCGACGGGCCACCCGCCCTAGCACCTGCCGGCACGACCTCCAGGGCTTGGGGTTCGCTGTGCTCGCGCCCCGCACTGGCGGCGTGGTACCGAGGGCTGTGGGGGGCGCCCCCCAGTCCCGACCTCTGAGGATGCCGCAGGGCGGAGTCCGAGGTCAGCGGGCACCGTCAGACCTCGCCCTTCCCTCCCTGGGGGCTGCCGGACCCCCGTCGGCGCGGCCCAGCCAACAGGCCTCCTCTGCCCCAGGCTCACTTCCTCTCCCGGGGATGGTGGACGTCCCCTCCCCCAGTCCACCCACAGGCCGTCCCCTCTCCCAGCCCCTCGGGTCTCCGGCGCCTGCTCTCCTCCAGAGCCCGCACTGGCTCCCCGCTGCCGGACGAGGTCCCGGGGCTGGCCTTCCCCGCTGTCCCTGTCCCTCGCCCTGCGGCGGGTCACACTCGCGGTCGCCGGCAGGAGGGCCGAGCCCCGCGCCCCTGGGACCTCCGAGCGCCGCCCGGATCTCGGAAGCACCGCCGCGGAGCAAGCGCAGTGAGGCCGGAGGGGCGGGGCGCGCGCCGGAAGCGGTGCGTGACCTCTCCGGTTGACTTCCGGGTCGGCCCGCGTCGCCTGGCAACGGCCCGGCGGGTCTCAACAGCTGCGGAAACCACCCTGCGCGCCGCCCCAGCTAAGCCCGCGTTCCCGCCGGGCCCCTCCTCTCCGCTCCGAGACCCCCGTCCGCCTCCTCCTCCTGTCTCGGACCCCCGCCCCGCACCCC